CGAGCGCTCACTCACCGCTGAGAGTGACATGTAGGTGGCGCCGCGGGGGGTGAGGGGGATGACGGAGGGAATGAACGCGTGCGAGCGCTCACACTTACCGCTGCTAGACCCGTCGACGTCTCCTTCAGGAACCGGTCGAGCCAGGACATCTGTGACGACGGCCGCTCTGCAACAACGACGCAAAACTCTCAGTTCACACAAGAAACAATTACATCATTAAAACTGCCATTGCACGCACCTGGTTAGCCACATTGGTTTCATTAGATTCAGCTACTAACTTTGGCTTGTATGCCATGTGTTTCATAGCGTTTTGCCTTGTAGCTTGTTGCTACTTAACATATCCTCATTCTTTTACTAATAGGCCTAGCAGTTTCATAACAATAACATTAGCACCTCGAGATCTATAGCCATCTCCCTCACCGGAGCATAAAGCGAACAATACGATCTATTACCACAAAGGCAATCATGATCAGGAGTAAAGCTACATTGAAATCCATTCGAGAAGATTGCTTGGTACGATGCAGTGTGAACGGATCGGATAATCCAGGGCGTCAAGTGACAAGTGACGCTCAAAAAATAGGAAAATAGGAATTTCAGATGTGAAAAAATAGGAGGAAAATTGGAATTTTGATGAGAAAATACATGTTAAATAGGAATATTTTTTGCGTTAGATGGTCTCCCAACACCCCTACATCCCCCATCCCGATCCACCACAAATGGTTTTATTAATATACATATTTGGAGTTACATCACATGCGAACAATATTTTGAGTTTTTAATGAGAAATGCATGTTAAAATTGATAAGCAGTTTATACATGCATAAGCACCCATACATGTAGATTACTCCAAAATAGTAGTGATAATGATTAAAAATAAAGACTAGACATGCACATGATATAAGATTATTCAGAAATTGTGCAAAGTACATAGATAGTTAGGCATATGCATGTACTCCCTTTAATTATGTTTACAAATTTATGACGTACATGTATAACATACCACATCCAACTGAGAAACAACTTTACTGAAACAAAATCTGTGATAGTAAAGAGTATATTACGTTAATTTAAAATAAGGGGTGGGGGTCTGAAATTTTTGAAAATTGGGTCACCTGAAATGTAAATTCCTGCATTCTGAGAAGGATACATACAATTCTGGATTCAGAGAGAGAGAGAGAGAGAGAGAGAAGAAAGAGAGAGAAGAGAGTGAGAGGAGAGAGAAGAGAGAGAGAGAGAGAGAAGAGAGAAGAGAGAGAGAGAAGAGAGAGAGAGAAGGAGAGAGAGAGAGAGAGAGAGAAGAGAGAGAGAGAGAAAGAGAAGCGTGGAGAGCAAGAGAGAGAGAGAGAGAGAGAGAGAAGAGAGAGAGAGAGAGAGAGAGAGAGAGAAGAGAAAGAAGAGAGAGAGAGAGGAGAGAAGTAGAGAGAGGAGACGAGAGGAGAGAGAGAGTGATACAGATCAGAGGAGAGTGGGGGAAAGAAAAGAAACAGAAAAGAGAGAGAGAGAAAGATAGCAAGAGAGAGAGCAAGAGCAGAGATAAGATAGAGCGAAGAGACAGAGAGACAGAGAGATAAAGAGAGAGTCCAAGGCAGATCGCTTGAAATGTATTGCATAAGTCAACAATCTTAATAAGTAATCTTACTGAAAGAATTGATTTTCAGCTGAATTGCCTCCATTATGGTATTTCTAAAACCTTCAGTAATGTCCTTCTCACAGACTTTCCTTAGTACTTACGACTATTTATGATTTTGTCTTCTAACAGTTTTTATATCTGGGCAAGGCCTCTAATCTGAAATTATTTCTGAATTGTAATGCCTCCGATATTACATCGACTCGTTAGTGTCGTAAAGCATCGTTAGCATCGTTACCTCAGCAGCCGGACCTTCAGCCCTTGTCGCCCAGCTCCGACGCGCTGCGCACCGGAAACGACAGCTGACTGTTGAAGCCGACCGCGCGTGTTGTCATCTGTGGCTCGTCGAGGTCAAGGTCGTGGAGCCCACTGCAATGTGCCAGACCAGCGCGCCAGGCTCGCCCGTCAGCTGCCCCCTACTGGCAGGCTTAGCAACCAACGTTTCACATTCAGCGATGCCAGCCGATGCAGAGCGTGAAATCACCGCGCGATCAAGGGAAGGGAGACGACTGGAGCAACTATATGCGCGCGATGCCTACTTACTGGACTGAGGACAAGGAATAGGGGCACTGTCAGAAGGGGAGGGGGCGAAGGAGGGAATGCACAAACTTGTTTACTGGGCAGAGAGTGACAGGTAGATCAGCATCACAGGGGAAGAGGGGGCCGACAGAACGCCATGCGGCACCGTTACCACTGTGACATTGTAAGGGGGTGTCGGCAGGGGTAGCAGGCGGACCACGGGAAGGGAATTGCATGCGCTACAACGTAATTGCTGAGAGTGACATGTAGAGCGCTGCATGGGTGAGGGGGAATGACGAGGGAATGAACGCGTGCGAGCGCTCACTTCACCGCTGAGAGTGACATTGTAGGGCGACTGCCGGAGAGGTGGGGGTGACGGAGGGAATGAAACGCGTGCGAGGCTCACTCACCGCTGAAAGGACATGTAAGGTGCAGCCGCGGGGGTGAGGGATGACGGAAGGGAATGAACGCGTGCGAGCGCTCACTCACCGCTGAAGTGACATGTAGATAAGGGCACAGCACTGGCGGGGGGAGGGGGAATGCGGAGGGAATGCGGTTGGGCGCTCACTCACCGCGAGAGTGACAATGTAGATGGCGCTGCGGGGGATGACGGAGGGAAATGAACGCGTGCGACGCCTCGCATCCACCGCTGAGAGTGACATCGTAGTGCGCGCGGGAGGTGAGGGGGCTGACGGGAAGAACGCGTGCGGCGCTCCACTCAACCGCTGAGAGTGACATGTAAGGTGCGGCCGCGGGGTGAGGGGTTTTTAATGCACGGAGGGGTAGAGAGAGAGAGAGAGAGAGAGAGAAAGAGAGAGAGAGAGAAGGAGAGAAAGAGAGAGAGAGAGAAGGAGAGAGAGAGAGATGGGAGAGAGAGAGAGAGAGGGAGAGATGGAGAGCGATCGAGAGGGACGTTGGAACAAGGAAAGGCAGCTATCCTCATGCGCACGCATGTGCTTGTGCACATACAACAACATAGACATATGCTTAGCAAGACAACCCTTGATCATAGTCAGATTTAGGAAATTTAACACAACTATCTAATAAACGAACACGTTACGACTGAGAACGTTTCATCTTTAGATACGACCACAATGGCTAACGCGCTCAAGCTCGTAACGACGCGCGTGCAATCATGCCGCAGTCGCCGTAACGCTGCCGCCATCTTGCCTCGCGCGCGCGGCGAGACGACAGGTGGCGCCACCGACTCACCGACGTCGATGTTCTTCATGAAGAGGAGGCGAGGCAGGTCGGAGCACTGGCTGAGCACGAGCGACCCGTCACGACACAGCGGCTTCGACTGCAACGCAACCACAGAGACGTGAAGCCATACGAGCTGATGTCAACACGTCGCAGCTTCCCACCCTCGTTAGCTAGCATCGTTAGTTAATGACGTGTTACTCGACAGTGAATGCCCCACGATGTCAACACGTCACAGCTTCCCACCCTGCTAGCATCGTTGTACTAGCCGCTTTTAATGGCTTCATACCAGCGAAATGAGTGGAATAGAATATATGGAGAAATTAGTATAGGTAGTAGTCGAGATTTTATTTATTACTACCTGTTTCGTACGACTAGTTCCCATATGAGCATTACTGCTTCACATTTGCTTTGTTATTGCATTTAAACCCCATTATTCTTTTGAAAAATTCAGTTAGAATTTTAGACAAAAAATTTCTATACATTCATTGTCTGTTATTTTCACATTTTTCAATGTCGTCACTGTAATAATTGAGACGTTATATCGAGGTAGACGCGAATGTTTTTCGCCGCGGAATTCCAGCCATGCCGAGCCGCGTATACTCACCCCCTTCAGGTTGATCGTCTGCACCCAGGTGGCGGCGCCGATGTCGAACATGTCGATGTGCGTCTCGGTGAACACCATGAGGAAGGGTGTGGCGACGCTGATCGCCTGCGGTCGGGCAGGAAACATCAGCTCCTCCTCCCGGGTTCGCCGCCCCGTGTTGTCCACGTATAGACCCAGATCTGCAACGATGGATGATTCACCGATTACTGCTCAGTAAAGCGGGGGACACCCCCATGCGCATTTATTCGCACGTCTGCTTACAATCGCAGCGAAATTCGCATGGTGTGTCCGCTCAAGCGCGGGCGAATTTCGCTGCGAATTTCATCCGCACTGAAATTCGCAGCGATCAAACAACATGTTTGATATTTTCGCTGCGGACGTCCGAATAAATTGGCATGGTGTGTCCCATGTAAAATCGCAGCGAAATTCACATGGTGTGTCCGCTCAAGCGCGGGCAAATTTCGCTGCGAATTTCATCCGCACCAAAATATGAAATTCGTAGCGATCAAACATGTTTGATATTTTCGCTGCGGACGTGGGAATAAATTCGCATGGTGTGTCCCAGGCTTAACATAGCAATAGTAGTAGTAACACCGCAGAAGCTGCACCACCACCATCACTAACAGCACCATCAGCAGCAGTAGCAGCATTAGCACCACCACCATCACCAGCAGTTGCAGCAGTAGCACCACCACCATCATCACCACTAAAAGCAGCAACAGCACCACCACCACCACCACCGCCGCCGCCACCACTAACAGCAGTAACAGCAGCAGCGTTAGTAGTAGTAGCAGCAGCAGCACCATCACCATCACCATCACCATCACCATCACCACCACCACTAACAGCAGCAGCACCACCACCACCACCTCCACTAACAGCAGCAGCACCACCACCACCACCACCTCCACTAACAGCAGCTGCAGCATTAGTGGTAGTAGCAGCTGCAGCAGGAGCAGCAGTAGTAGCAGGAGGAGCAGCAGCAGTAGCAGTAGCAGCAGTAGCAGCAGTAGCAGCAGCAGTAGCAGCAGTAGTAGCAGGAGTAGCAGCAGTAGCAGCAGAATGAGTAGTAGCAGCAGTAGCAGCAGCAGTAGTAGCAGTTGCCACACTAACAGTAGTTAGACAAGAACAGAGAGGGGAGGAGGCAGCAGGCATCACTCACTGTTGAAGACGAGTAGAAACTCATTGTCAGACACTCTCACCGCCGTCATCGGCTCATACGAGCCCGCCGTCAGGAACTTCAGGCTGGCGTCATCGGCGTTAACGAGCGCTGCGCACAGGTAAAACAAACACATCGTCAACGTTAACGAGCGCTGCGCACAGGTATAACAAACACATTGTCAACGTTAACGAGTCAATCAATCTCACATTCAATCCCGGTGAGCGAATAGATGCATTGCTGCGATGCTGCGGAGATGAGGAGGCTGAGGATTCGAAGAAGCCTGTGTTACTATGCGCAGCGCTCATTAACGTTGACAATGTGTTTGTTATACCTGTGTGCAGCGTAATCCCCTCAATTATTAATACACACATTTTTTTTCATATAGATCGAATGTAGAGTCACGAGAACACTAAATTAACACGCAGGCGTTTTTTAACATCGATTGAACATCGATTGACTAGAGACTGATATAAACGTTAATTGATATGCGCACAATTTTTTCGAAAATGAATTTCCATTCGTCCATCATTACATGTCCCGCATCTCTGCCCAACGCCAAAGCACTAAGGTCGTTACGCGCACTCCCGGTTGCCGGGAGCAACACCCTCCGTCGCATCCGACGGGACGAAGACCCGACGAAGAAAACCAACAACAGCGACAGTGACGATGATAATGACGACGATGATGACGACACTCACTGTGGTGATGGTCCCCGAGCACGGCAAACAGGAAGAAGCCGGCCTGCGTGGCGACGCACAGACGGTCCCCGACGAGGTTCATCCAGAACGCAGGCGCGGGCAGAGCGAGCTCACGCAGCTTCTTGTGTCGCTGCTTCGTGCGCGTGATCTCGTAGATGATCACCTGTACACGCGGATCGACACATACAGGTGTGAGATGTGCAGGTGAGAGGAGACGAGTACAGGTAAGAAATGTGTGAGGTAGGTATATGTGATAGCACAGGTAAGAAATGTGTGAGGTAGGTATATGTGATAGCACAGGTAAGAAATGTGTGAGGTAGGTATATGTGATAGCACGGGTGAGAAATGTGTGAGGTAGGTATATGTGATAGCACAGGTGAGAGGAGACGAGTACAGGTAAGAAATGTGTGAGGTAGGTATATGTGATAGCACAGGTAAGAGGAGACGAGCACAGGTAAGAAATGTGTGAGGTAGGTATATGTGATAGTACAGGTAAGAAATGTGTGAGGTAGGTATATGTGATAGTACAGGTAAGAAATGTGTGTGGTAGGTATATGTGATAGCACATGTGAGAGGAGACAAATACCGGTAAGAAGCGTGTCAATTGGATGAATAATTGATTAATATGTATTTATATTTTTTTAACTGGTGTGTATTATAGTAGAGAGCAGTAGTTGTTGTATTATGTTTGAGAACAGCTAACTAAACAGATACTATCAACAGAATACTGGTAACCGTTATCAAACAGTATCACAAATTAAACTGAATCACATCTCGTTTGCAAAGGCAAGTGGCTATTTATAATCACAGATTGAACGTGCCACATTTACTACAAATGTCTTTGATACCAACCTGCCGTTTTATTGCCACGAATACGCATGGTGGCGTCCCCTGGTGGATTTTACCAATGCAGTAGTAAGAGATGTTCTTCGCTTCTGGCAGTTTCACCCAGTCTACATTCACGCCCTCTAGTGCCAGCACTGGCACCAATCGTAGTTGACGCTGCTTGCCTGCAGATTAAAAACGTCATGTTTAAGTATGAAGTAACATGGATGTTATAGTTTTTAAGTTAGTAGCAATCGATGATCTCGTGAAATAAAGAAAACAAAAGAAATTGCTATGTCAATATGAAATTGATACAATACAAGAGCATTCGACGCGAATGACATGTGACGTCATTTCGTATATCTGTAATGATTTGTTGTTCACTACATCCATACCTATAACACTAGAATTCGAGAAAAAATCTAAAATCTATTCACTAAATATCACACAAAGATCTGAAATCAGGAATGCGTGGGGGGCAACGTATTAGCCAGCGAGCCGTGCAGCCGTGATTTGCACGGTGAGTTTTCAAACTGTACGGCCAAAGAAATAAAAAATTTAAAAAATTTAAAAATTCCCCCCCCCCCGTGAACGCATACGGCATTCAGGAAGACCGCCTACGACGGTCTTGGCTGAAACACACAAAAATTGCACTCCCAAATAATTATTTTTCGGGCACTCCACATACTCATCCTGGATAATACATGTGGGGGATCGTCGACCAGAGAGCAGTGAGAGTTTATAGACTGATGCCGTACTCTGCAGCAAAGGAACGATCGCTCACCGGTAAGTATGACTAACAACGCTCTCTCGATGAAGTCAATCTGAGATACTCGTTTATTCTCTTCATCCTGAGCTGTAGATATCATAACAAAATTAGGACAGCTAATGTGAACCACACCACGGCGCATCACATGCACACGCACGCGACGCACGAGCGTATTTATAATTACACATGCCGCACACGACGTGGCGACCATGGCCGCACCCTCATGCACGCCACACACATACAGCACACAATGCATGCCACATACGAACACATCACAAAACACATGCATGCATGTATGCGGGCCACCGAGCGACGCACCCGCACGACGCACAGCATAAAAGCACCACGCAGCAACTACACGCACGCACGCACGCACGCACGCACGCACGCACGCACGCACGCACGCACACACACACACACACGCACAACACAAGACACACGCGTGCACAGGAAAAACTCAGGTGCACACGCACACGCAACATAAATGCATGCACGCCCTCCGCTACTTACCATCACTAGCTAGTTCCAGCAGGTATAAACCTTCATCAGTTCCTAATACCACAGTTTCTTGATCTAAAATTAGGGAAATGCTCGAATAAACACACAATGCAAAGTGAACTCTAATCTATTGAACTATGTAATAAAACTAAATATGAATTTTGTGTATACACGAACTTGAATCACGAGGTACTTTTCATACTTCACTTTTTTCCCTTACACCAGTTCTGCAATAAATTTTTTTAAATTTACTGTAAGACAATTTACTAGTGTAAACAGACAATCAGTTGTGTAAATAGACGTAGCAGCATACGAGTATGCTCACCTATAATAGCAGCACACAGTGCGTTTTTGATTATCGGCAGTGTGTTATCGTACACCTCCTTCGCTTGGAAAACCTGAAACACGTTCGAACGAGTGCCTTATTACAATCTCCGTCCAAACTCGCTCCCGTCCCTCCCTCACAGGCCGACTCAACAGCGCTCAGCACTCAACAACCGTCGCTGCCGCAAGGTGCAGCCGCTGTAACCTTACCTTGTCGTCGTCGTTGTCGTCTGCCAAGAGCGTGTGACTCGCCGCGGATGGATAATGAAAAAATAAACAAGCAAACAAACTACCGGCTGGGAGACAGCGAAACAAGCGGCACACAAAGCCAAACGCGGAGCGAAAAAAATTGGCAAATCAGGCGTCCGGCGACGAACGAGGCCACAGTAACATACTACCCCCCCACACCCCACCGTGAAAAGCATACACCCTCTACATTGCCCTGCGGGAGCGTCAAGTAGGGCATGTCGCAACCACGACCCCGACCCGACATCTACGCTGCCCACAAGAGCAACGTAGAGAAAGGTGGGACGTTTACCATGGGGGGACGTTTACCATGGGGGGAGGCTTTACCATGGGGGGACATTTACCACAGGGGGAGGTTTACCATGGGGGGACATTTACCATGGGAGGAGGTTTACCATGGGGGGACATTTACCACAGGGGGGAGCTTTACCATAGGCCTCGCCGGCCGCCGGCCGCCGCCGCCGCCGCCGGGTGGCGCCGCTTACCGTTCGGTCGTGCAGCTTGTTCTTGCGGCGTATGCGATGCAGCTCGTTGAGCGCCTGCACCCACTTGGACTTCTCCGTCTCGTTGTCGGCGAGCATGAGCATGGAGTGACGCAGCCGCGGCGGGTCGACCATCGACGTTGTGATCTGCGTGCACGCGCACACACATCACGCATGAGCAGAGCGAGCGGGGAGGGGGGCCCTACCTTCCTCCGCTTCCTCTCCCTCTCCCTCGCCTCGCTCCTCCATCGTATCC